AAAAATGACGACTGAGGTCGAGTCTCTATTGGCCAATGCTGATCCAAGTTTCGAAATCCGAAATATTTCCATTTCTTGCGCCCCTGAGAATCTGAACGGATTACGTCATAGCGTTAGGGAAACAGACATTACGAAGAAATCTCTCTAAAAATTAATAAACGAAGGGTTTTGCTCCTAACGGATTACTCCTATATGAATGTCGCCAGTCGAAGTTGGCTAAGTGATTTGATGTCAAACTAAAAATTGCACGAATTTGCCATCTTTGGACAATATGTAATGTTGGCCCAGCTCATCTGCTTCAAATATATTTTGCTTTTTGAACCCTTTGATATTGATTGTAATCCATTTTAAAACCGCAAATTCACACTTTGCCCACAGTTCGCTGCAAATTTTTTTTGATATTTGTATATTTATTAGTCCCAATCTAAGCAGATATCATGTGGAACGGATACCTTGCTATTTCATAGTCGTGTTGTCGAAAATTTGGTACTCAAGTAGTATTTGTACCAGGTTAGGGTTAGGCCGTAATTTCATTCTGATTTTTCTTATTTTAGTTCTATTACGAGTTCGGGGACTGTCTGTGTTAGCCAAGTCCCCTTTCCCATAGGCTTCCGTCTCTTTACACAACTTGATGTAAATTGGGCAAATAGAGTCAGTTACCTTCGTATTGGTACAAATACGTCTCAGGCGCAGAAAATTTTCTGGAAAATCTATTGTGTTGTTTTCATTGTATTACTCGTTACCCGATAGACCTCGAAACTAAACTACATGCAGGAAATTACTCAAATCAGGCACATACTGTTGAAAAATTTCGCGCAATTTTCATACCATTTTCAGTAATCCGTTTACATATCCTGATGCCATTTACCGTAATACACACATAGATGCTCTCTATTATCACTGAAAGGGTATAATTCTTTAGAAGAGATTTTCTAGTACACTGAATGTAAACAGTGGTTTATAGTTTTATGATTTTATCGATTGGTAGACTGAAATTCAATATTAACGGAAGTGAGTCGGTGGTAATATTGTCAGGGTTGGTACTGATTTAGGTTGTTTGCTTTATTACTTTGTTAGACATTTCTATCTAGAGGGAAGTGGTAATGCATAACGGTAGATGAAGTATTTCATAGCCAAGATTTCCAATCAATCGAAGTCGAAATTTTCAAATAATCGTCGTGTCCTATACAGCAAGCTATAACTGCTTGTGGCTGATTTAATGTGTTTCGTAATATTCTCTTTCATTTAGTATATTGGCATCACTAAGGCATTGTCACCGGTTAATATCGCACAATGGAACAAACAATATTAAAATTTATGAGGAAGATTGGGCACTTTTCTGTGGATATTAGACATTGGTTTCTAGTGAGTAATACAGTTTATTTACATGTTTCATCATTGTGCGGATTTTGTGGCTAACGTTATTGATATTCAGATTATGTATATTGTCGCGGTAAAAGCAATTTGGCTTATGTCACATTTTTAGGGTTTCGAGAAAATTGCATTTTTGTATTTTTCAGATCTATATAGCCAAACCTAACAGTGGAAGCAAGGCACTATCTAAAATAGTACAGTTTTGAAACCCTGACCAAAAGATGACCCTTGGTCCATACGACAGAAGATTTGAAAAAAATCAATTTCTGAAAAATGCACTAATAAGCTATTTTGGTTTTACTGTGACGATATACTTACTTTCTATGGAGTGATTAACTAACATCCGAATATTAAGATTTCGAGAAATATAGAAGGATTTTCTGGAGATGCTGATTGTTAAGAATCCGTAGTAAAATCTTATCATTTTCATCAAGATTCATTCATGTTCCGATTTTTGGCAAACTCAGTTAAATCTAGGTTTTATGTGAATACTGTATACATAAGGTAATTTTTTACTTTGCAAGGGAAAGACGATTTGGCACCTTTGCTAATGTTGCATTAGTATGCTGCAGGCAGCTTTGATGTCGATTTGGCACGACATACCATTATCGATTTTGCAATGCGAAGTATTTGCAACTATCTACTTAGTTTAGTTCTACTAAGTAGTCTAAGTTTATCTACTTAGCTTTAATAAGGCGAACAATTGGAAGTTTGTTTGAGTATGCATGCATATTGAGTTTGTTGTTACGATAATTATATTATCATTGTCGGCGTAACTTATAGCAAATGTGACTCTCCAGAAGTATGTGTAAGAATATGATGGTAACTAATTTGGTTCGCCTACTCTACATCAAGTTTTGTAAAGAGACGGAAGCCTATGGGCAGGTGGTATATTCACTTGGATGACACAGACATTCCCCGAACTCGTAATAGAACTAAAATAAGGAAAATCTAAATAAAATATGCCCTGACCCTTACCTGGTACACATACTACTGGAGTAAATGTAACACCAATAAAAATATCGAACGTTTATTTTATAAAATTGAATGGAATTGATACCCAAATCAAGTATATATGTAATAGTCATTGATGGATTGTTTGAGTTAAATTATGACGTTGTCCCATTTGAGGATTTAGTCAGCTTTATTGATTCACTGCCTAATCAAATAGCATTGAGAATGGATTTTTTGAGCAAAGAAACAAATAACTTGTAAATATGTTACTAATCGTCAAGTTTGTTACTGCCGTTTTATATGTCTCCCTTTTTGATGAAATTCGGTGGCTTTTTTTAAGAAATTTTATTTTTGAGCGAAGGTGTGAAAGGCTTCTTGAAACATTTTTCAATGTATCTATTCCACCGTGAAGGCGAACTTTTAACGATTTTGCTTCACGCACGAAAAGATAAATTTGACAAAATTATGGAATCTGTAAGCGACACCTCTCGACTACGATAATAATCAATACATTCAAAATATCTGTTACGTCATAACCACATTGAGCGATAGTCATTCATGATACCAGTGTAGCGAATTTCACAACGAAGACGTGGAAATAGGTATATTTCATTGTTTGGCTCGCACGATTAAGCAAATAAATGTTGTAGGTTTCACATAGAATGATTTGTATTATATGACTGAGCATGTTGATTTTAGCTTAGCATAGCGATTTTAGCTTAACTTGGCTTTTTGAATGTATATTTTATGTTTTTCGATTTCGGGGATTTGGGTTAGTTATAAGCAGATGAGAATTAATAGTAGAATATTTGACGCTACACAAGTATGTGTATCAATATAGGGGTAACTAATTTTGTTCGCCTACTTTAGATTGAGTTTTATAAAGGGACTGATTACTATGGGCAGGGGGTATATTCACTTGGCTAACGCAGACATTGCCCGAACTCGTAATAGAACTAAAATAAGGAAAATCGGAATAAAATTATGGTCTAACCCTAACCTGGTACACTTACTCCGGGAGTACTGAATATTTATCTTAACAAAAGAAATTCAGCGTTCATAGGAAGCGTCTAGGGCAGAAGCTCCTGAGTGCTAATTGATCAATTTAGTTGTGCGCTGACGTTGATTGTAAATTTTTCATAGTCATCTGTAATATACGATTTCTCCAGACAACCATTCGTTAACAAAAGTCGATATTTCTTTTAGATTTAGAAATTCTTCTTTTGGGGGCGTATTTTAATATGTTTGGGGATAGTTTTACCGATACACTTGCGATTGCAAAAATCTCTATTAAAGTCTGTTAAAAATCTTCAGGTGAATTCCTTATTCTACGCGTGTTTATTTTTGTATGTCGATCAATTGATTGACCTTGCAGATTTATGCATTTTAGTGACTGCGCTGCAAGCTAGGGCACACGCTCTCACTTAAAAGTAAAGAATACTTATCTTTGATTCGAGTTACGGGCTAACGCTGGAATATTAGAAACTACTTGAACCACCAAGCTTTCTGGCGATGTATAATTATCAGGCCGTGTGCGCGTGTTTACTCACCTGTTTTTTCCTTGATTATTTATGTAAGATATGATGTTGTCATTGCAGCCATGCTTTAATTGTAGCGTATTTGTTAAAATGTGGCTGTAGGTGGGCCATGCCCTAAATGATCAATCTATTCAGAGGTCACGCTTGAAAGATGCGAAATTTTGAAATTTTTGAATTTTTTTAATTGCGCTGAATAGAAGGACAAATATTGATTCGATAGCCCGGCAACAATTTTATAATTGGAATGATCTAACCTTATGACATATTGTGAATAGGAGTGTGTGAAAAAAAATTTGAAAAACTAAAAAATGGGAAATTGATGTATCGAAAAATGTATGATCAAATGGGCGAAGGTACAGTAGTAACAGTTTTGGTCACCTACACTTGGATGACGGTTCACGGACAAAATTATTTGTAACCGTTAACCATCTAGGAACGATAACCGATCAACTGGTTATCTGTTCAGATGTATTTTTTTGATCAGTCTCAGTTACATTATTGGACACGAGGTGAACATATATGGATCGTATTGCCGTTGCTGGGAAAAGCTCATGGACTGATTGATTTCAATTTTTTTTTAATTGAACTATACAAACCGTTAGAAGCTTGTTACGTTTATTTTCTTTGTGTCCCATAGATCCCAATATTTTACCCCAATTTTATTTATTTATGGAAACACCTTTTATGGAATATGAAAACTTCATTGGGTCACACTTGTTGGGTGCTCCCGAAGTATTCGTAACAAGATGGCGCCCAACCTGAACATAGCATGCGTACCAGGTTAGAGCTGTTCAGGTTGTGCGTCATCTTGGTGCAAATACTTCCGGAGCGCCCTTGTTTGTCCCATCACACTTGTTCTCCAATATTTTCAGCCAACTCGTTCTCAGATAAGGCACTGATGTACCGATTTAAAAAACTGCTCTCTTGTTTTGATTATGTTTCCACTATTTAGAAAGTTGACACCTTGTTGACGAATTTGAATGTTTTTTTGAGGGGTGATAAAGGATAGGATTTACATATTTATCTCGGGAAGAGAAAAGCCGACAAGACAGCTTACTCGTATGGCGAACGACGGCCTATCGTCCGGTTACCAGTCCATGTCGGGTATAAGATTAGTCAACCAGTTATTTGTTTTCTGAAGCATAACCTTGATGGCGGAGGAAGCCGTAACCGACTAGCGTCTACGTGAACCACGCTGCGGCATCCCGCAGTCTTCGAGACATGATTCATAAGATATTTTGTTTTCGATCAATGTCGTTTCAGAAAACCATATTTATTTTATAATTACATTTTATTCTTTTAGCATAGTAAGTTTATAGAAAAAATTCTGAAAACCAAGACAAGACAAAATGGTACCGAAGTTACTGCATTTCATCGCTTTCCTCTTGATAGTGGATGTTTCACTTGGTAAGAGCATTTCAATTTTTGTTCAAGAGAAACATAATTGTACAACAATTGCGTATATTTGCCGATTTCGCATATTACCCTACAAATCGTAACACGTCGTACGCACCATCACAGAAAATGGTTGCCGAGGAGATTTAATGAAAATGAAAACCATTATTGTTATGTTTTACTTTTTAAATAACGGTAAAAAGTGTCCAGAAATCCCTCAAATTCATCCTCATTATCACTGTCAAACTCCCAAAGAGATCTTTTCAGTCTTTCGATGCATATATGATCAGATTGCGATCAGAGTTATGCGCGTAATTTGAAAACCTTTTTTCCGAGTTTTAAATATGGTTTGTGTGCGATATACGGATCAAATTCCTAGTTCAACTATTTATATATATTTGAAACCTAGTTTATAGAATACACCAGTAGTTCCCTCAATTTCCGCCAACTGCAATTTTCAAGGGCGTTTCTGAAGTCGTTGTCGTTTAGTCACGCACTTGGTGAGGACATAATACCAATACTTCGCCGTACATATCGTAGACTGAAAAGCTGAGCTAGTTTAGCATCTTAAAGTCGGATTGAAAGATGCAATGCCATGGGTGTTAGTATATTATTTGTATTTTTGACTAAAGAAAAAGTGATAACGATATGAATACTGTTTTTATTATGAAAAAGGTTATTAAGTTTCTGGTGGTTCGATTTAGGGGTAACAATATTAAAAAGTTTGGAACCACTGGCAATACAGCATAAAAATACTTTTATATCAAATTGAGGAATGGGTTAATTTCAATGAACTTTTCAACAGTAAATCTATTTTTATCACAGCCATACCAACTCCCTCTACTACAGCATCGCCAACAACAACAACCCAATCAACTGATTCCACTCTGAAAAGTACTACGAAAGAACCCCCAGTGACAAGCACAACCCCAACGGCAGCAGCAAAATCTTCGACCACTACTACAGTCGCTACAGCTGCACCCACCCCAGCTCCGACCAACACAACAATCGCTACAGCTGCACCCACCCCAGCTCCGACCACCACAACAATCGCTACAGCTGCACCCACCCCAGCTCCGACCACCACAACAATCGCTACAGCTGCACCCACCCCAGCTCCGACCACTACAACAATCGCTACAGCTGCACCCACCCCAGCTCCGACCACCACAACAATCGCTACAGCTGCACCCAATCCAGCTCCGACCACCACAACTACCCCATCTACAATACCACCTTCTGCCGGTAAAACTATTGCTCCAACCACAACCGTAAAAGGTTCAATCACTACTACAACTACAGAAGCTCCTAAACCTTCTACCGCAACCAAATCGTCGCCATCCCCAGCCCCTAAAGCAACAAACAAGCCTACTACTTCAACAAATAAAGCTCAAACACCCGATGGAAAAACCAAATCTACAGCTGTAACTCCATCAACATCAAAGAGCTCCACAGCCAAAAGTGTTGCACCAGCAGGGAAAACTACCTCAACAACAAAGAAGCCAGCTAAGACCACCAAATTATCAAAAACCACTAAAAAGAGTCAATCAACAACTACAAAAGGCGGCAAAACTACTTTAACAACTTTAAAGGGTACGTAGTTAGGTACTTTAAAAGTTACTTTTCAAGTCTACCAATGGCTACATGTCGAATAAAGATGTGCTGCCAGTACTCGAATCACTTATTAAAGTGGCAAAATGAATCAACTCGAATTTGGGCTCAGATGAAATACCAATTACTACGCATCTCAATTCACTTCTATCACTGCTAGCTCAATCTATGCATTTCACTGTTGCCCACAAAATTCTACTGCTTGGAAGGGCAAAGACTGGAATAGGAACACGCTATGAAAATTCACTAAGACTTAGACTTGGTTAAGTTTTAACCGACGCTGCCTCAAATAAAATTGTATAATTACTTCCAAACTTGAAGATGTCCATCATTAGGAATCACAAATTCTATTGATAGATACAAGATGTCACTTTTCTTAAATTTTCCACTCCTAGGCACAATTTATATATAGGAAGCACACGTAGTCTGCTAATCGAATCTCAATTTGAACGCAAAAGGGTGGATTTGTTTGAAAAAACCTGAATGCAAATATTAATGAATTTTCAACGGAGCGTTACCTTTTTACGCAAACCCCTCTTGAGCAGCAGCAGTAGATCATCAATCTGAATTTCCTTATGTCAGTTGGTTTTAATCGAGGTTCTGCGGCACCATAGGACAGGGCTACTCAACTGGCGGACCGCGGTCCGAATCCGGCTCTTTCTCCTTTTTGATTCGGACCGCACCCAATTCTTTATGTTGGAGAATTTTCCCCACTTTTAAAGTTTTATTTTATAAAATACCTTTTATTGTTTTAAATATATATGAAAAGAACTATAACACCGTAATGAACAATCTTGATTAGCTGATATTAATCATCAGCCGGTCAAGGGAGTGCGCGTTTACGGATGCCGAAATATAAATTATGGAAACACCGGACCCAAATAATTTTGATGTTTTGTATGCGGATCTATGGCAAAAATAGTTGAGTAGCACTGCCCTAGGGTTCCGCAAGTGCCCTAGGGTTCCGCAAGTGCCCATTCTAATCATACAGTCTATAATATAATATTGTATTTATATATATACGTATTAAAAGTACGCCACTATTATTAAACTTTGAAGATCATATTGTTTTGCGCGGTTTGCTTTTATATATATTTATGATTTATGTAATTCAGACAACAAAAGACAATTAAGCAATTGCATATGAGTTCCTCAAGCCTCCGAATTGTTTAATTTCGGTTTCGCTCGTAATCCTTTGGACGTCAGTCACTGTTTTATATATCATATTGTCGTTGGTCAATCAAATATGTGTGAAAATGAACAGAAATTCTCATACACAAGCTGATTTGGCATCTATTGTTTTCGTCTCGACTATTGCCGCATCGTGTTAAGATTATTCCGTGTGCATGGTTACGCAAACCCAAATCCTGCAGGGGATACTTTTGTGCAGGAAGACTTCTTGACTCCTCGCCAACGCAGGGGTTGTTCATGTAATCGGTTTTCGGCCTCCTCCGCCACCATAGTAAACATGGTGCTCATCGAGCAATAAACCGGTTGACTACTAAACTACTCGACCTGGATTATTGACCAGCCGATATTCGTCACATGATTAATCCGTCTTATCGACTTTACTCTCTGGAGATGAACTTAAAACCTTGAATTGATATATTATTGTTGTTGGCCCCTTTTTCGCAATAAATGGATCGATCGATATCAAACTTTTAACACTTTAAGGTGGTTAGAGCCGCTAGAAAGCTATTTCCAAATGTCCTCTGAGTGCCATGGGACTCGATATTGACCAAGATTTATTTTGATTTGTGAAAACACTCAATTTCATATGCGTGCTCATGTGTATAAAAACGTTCTATTTTTTTACAGGCGCTACAGCCAAATCAAGTCACGGAGGTGCCATCGCAGCTGGAGTTATATTAACCTTGGTTGTTCTGCTGGTTGGATTTTGTTTTATCAGGCGTAGAAGAACAAGACAACGTGATTCAATGAGACAGAGTTTGTTTAATAATCCAATAAGATTTCAAGAAGATTCCGTGTTGTAAAGATCATCCGGTGAAATACAAATTGAGCAATTGCTTTGTCTATAATGAACTTGAAAAAAAATGGTCAAATTTGGGTAACACGATTCTTCCAGTTACATTACATTTGATACAAACGGCACTTAAATATTTCGGAACTTGGGCTACAATATATAATATATCTCAAACTCATTCATCAGGAAAAGATAAATGAATATTAAAGTATTTGGTTGTTAACGCTTTCGCAGTTCCAGGAATAATGGGTGCTCAGGCGTATTTAAAATCGAAAGTAGTGCTGATGATACAAACAGCCGTGTCCGGGTCATATCTAAAGCTATTTTTTATTTCCTATTGATTTTTATTTCTATTTTATATACTCTTATGGTATGTGTCTGTAATTGAACATTTTATTATATATTTACAACCAAACTGCTCTTTTCAAATTTTTTTGGTTAAGCATTGTGACGACACAAGAAGATTATGATTTCGTTTTATATGCTTCGTTTACTAGCCTCTGGTTGATTTTGAGCTTTGGTAGCGTATAAGGCTAGCAGAGCAAATGGCCGTTTTAGAAACAGTTTTAATAAACTATTGTATCCAGAATAATAGAAGACAAACATTTTTACTAATTAAAATATATTTCACTGCAAAAATGAGGATATATTTTTTTAACACGTAACAATACAGTTTGGTCATTTACACTGGGAATATGACTTGATAACCGATTGTGGCTTTCCCCTAAACTTTTTTGACTTTATTGGCAAACATTTTCTATTTCTTTTATTGCTTGATTTTATCAGTGTGCTGCATTTTTCGCCAATATTTTTTCGCTTGAATCGTTTATGATATATTCTGTTAGTTTTCGTGAAATTTCGTGAAGTTCAATTTAAAAGTTGATTATTTGTGAAATATTACCACTCAGCACTAGCCATTTGTTATTATCAAATATGGCGTATATGCGTATCTCTAGCTATATATGTTAAATCGACCCAATGAATGAAACATCCATCCCCATAAAATCATTTCAATTCGGGAGACTGTTTGCTGTCTCTGTGTTACTTTGAGTGGGAGGTATTAGAGTCACAAATATTTTATTTTAGACAATAATGATGTTATTACTTATCGATCTTGATCGGTAAGTATGTTGATATGTATTTGTATGTCTGTGTGTTAGATGCACGCGATATCTCACGAAAGCGAAATTCAATCTGCTCCAAATTTTGCATGTGCATTCATCTTAGCTCGGACCAGAAGCCTATTGATTTTGGATGGATTATGTCGTATAATTAGCGAGTTAATAATTAATTAGTGATGAGACACACGGTGTCACTATAAAGTAAGACCACTGTTTTGGAGGATCCCCTAACCTTCGATCGATAAGTCTTCGGTTTCCAACGGAATTCTAGTTTTCCTATTGTCTACTTCTACTATGTAAAACATCTATTGTCTACTACAGTCCTACTCAAACTTTTTCTGGAGAAGAGTCCCTGGACTCTAATTGCGGAACTCTAGGATGCCACGGAACCCCGTTTGAAAACCAATGATGGCGTACAACTACGTTTTTGCCTGCCCCGGATGAAATCAATATTCTAAATTGAAAACAGTTCTGCAAAAATTTCCATTTGTTAATGTGGCTTTACGTAATTTCTTCTCAACAAATTTCCTATTTTCGTTTAAACGATTTTCATTTATTGTTTATAAATATGCATGATTTTTGCTGTTTTGCTCTTCTAGCATAGAGATTATGAAAATGCATCAGCGATGGAATTCAAAATTCTAAGAACAGGTCCCATTTTGTCTCTGACTGACTAGCAACAGGTTCCCGCATTCTCAGAAATCTATGCCGTACTTATATCTTTATCACTGTTTGTCTTATTGTATGTCAAGACGTAACATACATTTACGTGACACGCTTAACAAAGAACTAATACACAACTCTCCAAACGCAAAATATAACACTAGCAGTCAGAGCTCAAGAACGACTTCGCTTATTTTTTTGACATTGACAGTACAGTAACTGATTCGTGTGAACCTCCTGAGCCCCTCCACTGGCATTGACTTGAATAATCCGCATTTTATATACGGGAGAAATAAATTACTTATTCGTTTGCTGAAACAATTGCTTGAAAGTTAATCATTGACAGCATATGATCCAGTGTAGTACTGACTTCGCTACTCCCGTAGTATGTGTACCGGGTTAGGGCTAGGCCTTAATTTTAATGGATTTTAGTCATATTACGAGTTCGGGGACTGTCTGTGTAGCCAAGTGAATATACCCCCTGACCATAGGTTAAACAACTTAATGTAAAATAGGCGAACAAAATTGGTTACTCGCATATTGGTACACATACTTCATCGTCACAAGTTCCATTACTGGAATTTTTTGATTTTTTGTCATTCTTTATACGGTAATATGTTTGCATTTATCGAAGTTTGACCTCGCTTGTATTTTAGTAGTCCAAGTTCATTATGCTCGTCATATGGCAAGAATGTTGCTAAAAAATTTGAAACACAAATATCACTTGTTTTCATTACTACCGATATAAAATATTGGCAAATCTCCATTCGCTGGTATCGGCTCAACGTGTACATTTCATTAATTTGTTGTGTAGTTAGGATGATTTTCTCCGCAATGAATGGACCCATCGATTTCAAATTCTCAGTAGTTCAAGATGGATAAAGCCGCTAGAGAGCTATTTTTTCAAATTTCCCCAGAGTGCCATGGGCCCCGATATTCAACCCAAATAATTTGACGCTTAATTTTGATGCACGAGAACGATTTGTATTCCAATACGTTCGCTCACAATTGTCTCCGATCATTTCAGAAAACCCGAAGATCTTTTTCGCAAAGCCCCCCGCCAAAAGAAAAATCCCCTCCAACGCTTAAAATAAGTAAAATAGTAAGTTCAAATTCAAGGTGATGGTTAGGAAAGCATTTTATGCTGGGAATTCAAAATTTCAAATAATTCCTAACGATAACCCTAACTGGATAATAACTATTTTTTATTTAAAACGTGGCGAGGGTATTTTTCTCAAATGTCACATTTTTTCAATAGTGGCAGGGCTTTACACAAATTATCCTTTTTTATTCCATCTTGTTTGCTACGCTTGTCCTCCGATCTTTTCCTGCAAGCTCAGATGACAACTTAATCGTTACCGTATTGGTGCAGGTGCGCAACCTTCCTATTTATTTGTGCATTGCTCTCTTGTTTTATGGACTTGAGTTTCTATCATTTCTGTAATAGTTTCGTGAAACGTAACGGCTTTGGAATATTGGTATATCGGCAAACCTTCATTAGAGCAGATCTTATGAACTGTATTTATTTATTAACTGTTAAATTCGTTCTATATTTTGTTTTTTGAATGCCTCTTGGTTCTAGTGCTCTTGGAAGGCATGGGATGTAAGTAGCGATTAGACGGTTTTAGACTCTTTTTATAAGTTTCACATTTAAATTCTTCATAAACACAATGAGAAAAAAGTCGTGGTATGCGTTTTGAAACCCTCGGATATAGCCTAACTATATATAGGGGTGTGCGACTTTTGATACAGGAGATACAAATAACTGAGTGAAACCGCGGGCCGCACCTTTTTAACATAGTTTTTCTAGTAGTTTCAGGCGTTGGTCGATTCGCACAAGCTAGCTGTTACGGCATTGTGACGTCATAGATAATAAATTGGACTCCGGTATAGGCTTTGCAAAGCAACGTATCAGATTCAACGATGTATCAGATTCAACTAAATTAACTCGTTTTGCGGGCCGCACATCATTCAAAATTGGCACTCATTCGCGGACCGCAAAATCTTTTCTCGTAGGCAGGGGCGTGTCAAACTAGTCTGCTGCCCGGGGCGAGTTTCTGATAATGCTGCCCCTTATACCTAATTTTTAAAATAATTTGGGTGATAAACAGATTATAGGTGTTGTCATACACGAAAATAAATCAAATAAAGGTCAAGTAAGAAAGAAACGTTTGATTTATTAAACCAAGCATCAAAAATGTTGCAATTGTAAAATATAAGAAATTTTTTCCCGAGAGCAATGGTCGGGGAAACAATCCTTGTTGAATAACCATCACCACAGAACACATATTGTTAGCTTCAAATTAAATAAGAACACATCTAGAAGAGCATGTGTAATAACGCAAACTCTACAGCTTGGTTCTGCAGCCTCTCTACAATGTGCTGCCCGGGGCGGTTGCCCCCTTCGCCCCCCTCTGGGCACGCCACTGCTCGTAGGCCGCAGGTTGCACACCCCTGATATAAATAACAACTACACTCATTAACACGTGCGCTGTGGAAAGTCCAGGATGCCCCACGGCATTGCGAAGTCTGGGTAATCCTGAAGTATGTGTACCAGTTTAGAGTTAGGCCATAATTGTATTCCGATTTCCCTTGTTTTAGTTCTATTGCGAGCTCGGGAACTGTCGGTGTTAGTCAAGTGAATATCCTCCAGTAGTCCAGTCCATAGGTTTCAGTCCCTTTACACAAATTGATGTAAAATAGGCGAACAAAATTAGATACCTCTATGGTGGCCCATCGTTGTCACGCGTGAAATTTAAAAAAAAAATGAAAAAATAAAATGAAAAAGCGAAAATAAAAAAATTGTTGTGAAAAAACATAAAAATAATTGAAAAAAAAGAAAAGAAAAATTAAAATAAAAAAAAATTAAAAATAAAAACAAAATAAAACGAAAAAAAAAAAAATTGAAAAGAAAAATTGGATAAAAAGAAAATAAAAAGGTTGACAACGATGGTCCGCCTCGTGGCCCATCGTTGTCACGCGTTTTTATTTTTAGAAATTTTGATGCTGCTTGGGACCAACGTCGTCAGGCATAATCCTACACGCACAAATGTGTTTCCTGGGTTTCTAACTCACTACTGATTTTCATGAGCAATATCCAATAAATTCAAAACGAAAATGTTCTATAAATTCTCCATGCTAAGTTCAACCACAAGCAATATATTTATAATAATGATAGGAGAATATAGAATTGAATACGAAAATTTGTTTTTACGTGTAAAAGGTAATTGAATTGGAAAATGCTGCTTAACTGCTCAGTTGTCTGGACACTCGTGCGATACCGGTACGGTACCGTCTGACCGTACCGGTACCCATGCAATCACTCATGAAAGAATGGGAGATACAGATAGTCTTGTAGAATATAGACTACTGAAACACTCTCTGCGCCTGCCCCATAACGTACAGCCGTAACGTACCGATCCAGACAAATGATGAATCGCCCGTGCTCAACCATTTATTTCAATCCATACCTCGACTCACTATATTCTACTAGGATCGAGGTATGGATTGAAATAAATGGTTGAGCACGGGCGATTTATCATTTGTCTGGATCGGTACGTTACGGCTGTACGGTATGAGACAGGCGCAGAGAGTGTTTCAGTAGTCTATATTCTACGAGACTATCCGTATCTTCCATTCTTTCATGAGTGATTGCATGGCTACCTGGACGGTCAGACGCAAAGCGACTATAACCGACTATCGGTATTTGGTAAGACGGTAAGGTACCGGCATCGCGAGTGTCCAGACAACTGAGTAGTTAAGCAGCATTCTCCAATTAAATTACCTTCTACACGTAAAAACAAATTTTCCGAATTTTCGTATCCAATTCTATATTCTCTTATCATTATTATAAATATATTACTTCTTGTTGAACTTGTAGCATTGAGAATTTATAGAACATTTTCATATTGAATATTGCTCAAGAAAATCAGTAGTGAGTTGGAAACCCAGGGAACACATTTGTGCGCGTAGGATTATGCCTGACAACGTTGGTCCCAAGCAGAAGCAAATTTTCTGAAAATAAAAACGCGTGACAACGATGGGCCACGAGGCGGACCATCGTTGTCAACCTTTTTATTTTCTTTTTATTAAATTTTTTTTTTTTTTTTATAATTTTTTTTTTCTTTTAATTTTTTTTTCTGTTTTTTTTTCGTTTTTTTTTTTATTTTTTTTTTTAATTTTAATTTTTTTTTACATTTTTTTTCAATTTTTTTTATGTTTCTTCACAACTATTTTTTTATTTTCGGTTTTTTATTTTATTTTTTATTTTTATTTTCAATTTTACGCGTGACAACGATGGGCCACCATATACCTCCATATTGGTACTCACACCTCAGAAGCGCTATTTTTGTATAGTCCGTTTTCACATTTTATGGCATCAATAATCGTTATTGAGCATGCATTATTT